TCCTTGGTGGCTGCCCAGTCAATCCAGCCTTTGCCGTTGGGGTCAATGTTCATCAGGACGAGCCCTTCCACCAGGTCTGGGAAGATGAGCTGCAGCCAAGCAGACACAGGCGATTGCTCCAGGGTACTGTCCAGCCCAGCTGGGGAGCTGAGCACGGGGCCGAGGTGGGGTTGGAGGGTGATTGCCCCCTGCCTCGGGAGGGAACGGGGGGGGATCACTGGCCGAGGCTGAACCCTGGCGGGACGAGGTGATATTGGCTGGACACAGGATGCTCTCAGATCCCCACTGACGGAGCATCTGGCACCCCAAGGCGAGGGGCGGATATGGGTTGGGGGTTATCCCAATACCCAGTGGCCAAAGACACCCTGGGGGCCCACCTGCCACTCCCGCCTTTCGAGCTCGATTCCCGCCACTCAGCGAGCTCCTGCTGGGGTGCACAGAGCGGCGCGGGATCCGCTCCCCCTCAGTGGCAGCCTGCCCTAAAGGATTCTGGGTTGCCCCACGGGATTCTGGGTAGCCCAGTTTTCGCCTGGACTGCCCGTTATTCGGGCTCCCCATCCAGTAAAAAACCAAACAGAAAATACCGGACATGCGAAATGGCTGGTATTTCCAGTTTTCCCCTGCCACGTCTGGCGGGAGAATGAGGGGCGCGGGGCCATTTAAAGGCACAGGGCCTTTTTTTTTTTCCTCAACAATGTTGGTCTCCCCCTCTTCCCCCCCCCCAACAAAATTTTTTCCTGGTGTTTTCTTTTTTGGGGGTGGTGGGGGGGGGGATTCATTATTTTTTGTTAAACCGTCTGGCAACCCTGCTCCCAGACAGGGCTCACTTACAGCAAACTTGGCCAGGACGTAGGCTCCGGCTCCCACGCCGATTCCGATCACGTACTTGAACCTGAGAGACAGAGACAGAAGTGTCCGCGTGGGCTCCCAGCCGTCCTTGCTAGGCCTGTCTGGCTCTTCCCGGAGCCTTGAGGCAGGGGCAAGGAGCAGCCAAGAGAGAGGGAAACGAGGCTGAGGGCAGAGGAGAGATTCCCAGAGGGGCCGCCAGACACACCCTGGGCTGCTTCCCTTGCTCCCCTGCAATCCGAGTCCTCGTGGCGTACGTGAGCTGGGTAGCACCCTCTGAGAGGGCTCCCCGTGTCCTGCGTGAAGCCCCCACGACCAGCTCCACGCCCCAGTCCGCCTCTTCTCCGAATACCCTGCCCCCGCCCTCCCTCCCCATCTGGAGATTCCCAGAGGGGCCGCCAGACACACCCTGGGCTGCTTCCCTTGCTCCCCTGCAATCCGAGTCCTCGTGGCGTACGTGAGCTGGGTAGCACCCTCTGAGAGGGCTCCCCGTGTCCTGCGTGAAGCCCCCACGACCAGCTCCACGCCCCAGTCCGCCTCTTCTCCGAATACCCTGCCCCCGCCCTCCCTCCCCATCTGTGACCAGCGAAGCCTGTAAACCAAGGCCAGACGGGAAGGGAACAGAAGAGTCCGCGCCGCCCACGGGG